TAAGCAAGGCACGGCGTCGGGGTTGGAGCGCCCTAAGCAAGGCACGGCGTCGGGGTTGGAGCGCCCTAAGCAAGGCACGGCGTCGTGCTGGAGCGCGTGCAGCTCGCAGACGCTGGGCGCGAGTGTCGTGTGTGTGGCGGCGCTGGCCGTGTAGCGCACCTCGATGGCGTGCCCGGCTACTGAATTTATTCCTTCACAAGTGAAGGATTCTCTGGATGATGAACTCTTCCTTTGCAGTCCTTCAGAAAGAGCTAAATTTTTACAAGATTTTGGAAATAATGTCATGTTTTTCAACGATTCTTTAGAAAATTGCTTATCGCTAGATGGCTCCTCTACGTAAACACTTTCCTTAGATTCTTTAGAAGGCACTGGGGAGAGGTTGGATGAGTCTATGATTGTTGAGGTTATGACTTGCTGTTGTTTTTGTTTACTTGCTGTTCTGTCGACTGACGTTGTCTTGAGTTCGATTTTCCGGCGCCTCAGAAAATAAGTTGCTACTGCAATCGCCAGCAAACCTGTAGAAACAACAAATTCGTCCTTAAAAAATATTAACGATAGGCCACCGAAATGAAATTATTTTTAATTGCTGAGTAAATGAATAACTAAGAAAGAAAAAATGTCCGAAATACTGCATTGTTGATTTAATTATTTAATGAGATTTACGGGGTGTATGTAATTTTGTATTTATTTTATGATATTTACAGGGTGTACGTATAGGTGTGTAAATTAACTGGTGTGTTAACTGAAGTTTGCACTAATATAACTCTTGATCCTCGTATCCCGCGAGGAGAAGACGCCTCACCATAAATTTGGGAAGCGCTATAAGGAATTGGGAAGGAATTGCATTAATTCTATGAATTTCTCCTGGGGGAGCAAGTTTGCTTCCCAGCAATGCAGAGTAGATCTGCTGATCTGGCTTATCCTGAGAAGTTACACTGCTACGGGCAACGTTATGTTTTTACACACAACACCCCAAACCTGGGTTACCCTGCTCTTTGTGCAATGAATGAAGAGTATATTTTTGTGACGGTAAATGATTTTCCGTCGCGAAGAATGATTTCAATGTAAATTATTATTTTACGAAATTTAACATAAACATTGAACGATTTTAACAAATATACAAGGTTTCAGGGATCATATTGAGGCTGACCTAAGACAGTAGCGAGGGAGAAGGTGAAGGCCAGCAGGACAGGCAGGCCGCCTAGGGGGAAGGCCAAGGGTCCGGCCTGCTGCTCACAGTTGTGGCCTGCGTAGCCGCTAGTGCAGGAGCAGTGGTAGCCTGTGATACGGGGCGGCAAGTGTTGGTGTTGAAGAATGGAAGTGACGTCCACAGTATTTACTCTATTCCTTTGTAGGTAATGATGCTTTGATGTAGGTAATGATTTGTAGGTAATGATGCATACTCATCAATGATGTTGCGCATCGATGAGTCTGATATATTATGTTATATGATATGACATATTTATTTTCCTAAATTCAAAATGAAATCAAACTGGGGAGGTAAAACTTGTAGGAACATCGAGACGTGAAAATGCATTAAATATTGAATTCATTGATCAGTAGAACCATTTCCATGAACATGAAGACGTGCACTTAACACAGCTTCTTGAGAAGAAAAACAGATCATTTGTATCAACGAGAAATAAATATGAACAAATTAAACCAAAGAAGACGATTTCCGTATGCCTAACAGTAACGTTCATCGTCTAATATGATAGGTTTACCTAATATTAAACCTTATACGCGAAATGTAAACTTTTAAAACTTCATTATTAAGTCATATTCGTCCTCAGAGTACAGTTGAGACTGTACCATGATACATAGTTGAAGAAAACTCCACTACTGAGGGCGCACATGCACACGGCAGTCGTGCAACAGTCTCTATAGAAAAGGCGGTTAAAAGACTCTAGGTATGATTATTCTTTTGTGGGTCATTCTCTGCCAGCCATACATGGCTGATTAGAATTTACAAGGACGCTATTGCGAGAAGGTATTCAGCCGGAGGTCCGTATTCTAACTCCCTCAATTTACCGTGAAATTTGTGAAGAAATAGGGTACAATATCTCACAGGAAATAGTTTTTCTTAGGCTTAACAATTCATGAATTTGTGCCGTGGTTCCAGGTTTGAAGTCTATCTTTTCAAGAATATACTCATATAGGCACGTCTGGTGCTTGCAAGACGGTGTGACATTTGGAAAGATGTACTTTAGAATTAATTATTGTTTCCATCTTAGTTCTGATGGTAAGAGTTACCCGCGCAATTTAACAGGTGAAAGCTCACATCCCTTCAACCTGTTATAAGATAGTCTAGTTTGGCGGCTAACATGCAGTGTAGATGCTGCGCCTGTCGAGATTGTATCCACTTACGGTATTTTCATCAGCACGCGGGGAGAATTATGACTTATCTTAGGAACTTGTGGATCCTAAATTTGAATACTGGCATGCAACACCCAAGATGTTTTCCTTGAAATGAAATTCACAGACCATTTGTTGAGTTACACACAAATTGATGAAACCGTTTAAAAACGGCTTTCTCTGGCATTCCAACAAAGCCACACGATCTTTCTTTAGGGATTCTTGCCTATCGTTTACCTACTAAACTATTAATAATACTTCCAGCACAACGTAAATTGTCACAAATTATTAAATATGATTTTTGGGATCATGTTAAGAATAAGCACCCCGTACGTTACTCGGGTGCGTAATCTTAACAAGGTTAATTGAATGAAAAACATTAAATCCCAAATGATAAGCAAAACATCTTAGTCAAAGTACTTTGCCGCAATATGATCACATAAAGCTTCAAAAGCATTTTGTGAGAAGCTTTTTCGCCACATGAATTCTTGAAAATATGAATATAAAAAGGAATAGGGATGATTAACAAAGTTAGTCTACAAGGTTTATTCTAGGGAGCGTTTTATCAAGAAGGATATACAAGCTAGGGTGCGTTTTCTTAGTAAGATCACACTGGGGTGTTTATTCTTAACAAGATCCGTTTTTTGTTGTCTTTGTGGTTGGTGCTTTTGAACAATTTTGTTCCCAGAGAGCCTGTTCGTCGAGTCAAGGTCAACATGTAACTAGAAATTAAAATAATACTGCATGATTACAGAATATAATACAATTTCCCGCTGAAATCTGTGTTTTTATTATAATGAATAGAAATATATAATAATTTTCTCATGATGACCTTACCATTTTCTGAAATTTACTGTGAATCCATTCATTTCTTATGAATAGTTAAGTGATTAGAGTCGAACGGTCATTCATATCATGACAGAAAAGGTTGATTACATAATTAATAATTCAAGTTTAATGGACACCAAAGATTGATTTATTATGAACAAATACAAGATTGTTTAACTTTAGTTCAGGATATCCCATGCAAACAACTATTATTCGTCACGAATCGTATTTTTAAAATCAATAAGCTCCATTTCATCATGCAAATTGGGGGTGTTTGACAGTGATAGTCAATTCTATGGTGGAACTGATATATATCGATCATTTCGAAACTTGGCATTCTTACAAAATTTTCGATTCGAGATAATTCGGGAAAGACATATAATAACACATTTCCATAGTTGAAGCACCAACGCATGAAATCAACAATTGAAACAAGATAATTAAGAGATCAATCTTAGCCTGATCAAATGAAAAAATCTTACTGTGGGATAAAGTTTCATTACCTGGCACCGAGTTTGAGCACGAGGCGAAGTTGAGGCAAGGCTCGTAGCGACACTCGTCCACATCCAGACAGGAGGCGCCGTCGGGACTAAGCTGGAAGCCCTCGCCGCAGCTGCGGACCAGGGGGCGAAAAAACGCTTTTTAGACCACAAACCGAAGAGAGTGGCATTTCTTCCAGCCCTATTGGCGGATGCAAGCTATATTTCAGAGGTTTTTACGAACAATTGACAACGGAAGGCATGCTGCCCTGAAGTTTTGTGTGGTAAACTCCAGCGGTATTTTGTATAGAACGACACGTCGGTGTTTGTTTTTACGGGACTCGACCCTGCGTGCTCTGAGATTTTTGTGTTTGTTTTGTTATGGCACAACAGTGCTTTGTGTGTTAGGACACAGCGTTGTGTGGGGCTGCGTTTCAAGGATTTGTTTTAGCAAAAAAATAAAGCTCCGGAGCCAAAGAGTTTCCTTTTATTTTAATCCATGTCCAACCTAGCGTAATGAATTGATGTATACCTTCAGGGGTAAGGCCGGAACTGATTCACAAACTTACGTTCAAAATCACAGAGTAGTCCACTTCCATCCAGATTCCAAAATTATTCATAACAATGCGCACATAGTGAAGTTATGAATGCAATGAGAAGTCCCATAAAAAATGCCATCATGTATGCGAATTCATCTTTTAAAGGTTCGTTTGTGAAGGTGAAAAGGTTCACTGGTGAAAGATGTTTCCATCAAAAGTTATAGTTTAGACAAAAGTTGTATCCAAATACGGACACAAGGATGCTTCTTACTCGCACTTGAACTACTTACTCGCACTTGAACTGCTTACTCGCACTTGAACTGCTTACTCGCACTTGAACTGCTTACTCGCACTTGAACTGCTTCCAAGTATCCTGGCATTTGTAGGGCGAAGAGCAGGTGGCGTTGACACAGGCTGAAGGTGGCACGCACCCCGACGCCAGGTCCAGCGCAGCCTCCACGGCCCCCCAGCGGGTGGCGTTCAGGGCCGGGGGCATCGGCAGCCGTCGACCGCTTACACGCACGTCGTCCAGGCAGCCTGGGCCAAATTATTGAGAGGTTTGAGGTACCTTTTGGTTCAGTATCTTTGATGAGAGGTTATTGAGTGAGAAGGAAAAGAGGGATCGGGAGCCATGAATATTTGATCATCGTTAAAATTGACCGAGCTGTTGCTTCTATGTTTTTCAATTATAGTCATGTAACTGTTAAGTTATATCAGTAAAAAATTGTGAGCACATAAAATGTACAGAGTTAATAATCAGTGGAATCAGGAATAAAAAATCTAAATTTCTAACCTTCTTTGAAATTTGTGTGAATGACGGGCTTTTCGCCAACGGATCTGGGAGATTTACCGCCAGGATGAGGAGCATCCGCTCCCCACAAATGTTCATCCCGCCACTGCATAGGAGCGGCGAGTGATGACATTTCTTCCTCCTGTGACAGCCTCTGCAGCTCCCTGTCGCCGTCGTCTGCTGTCAGCTCCAGGACGTTGCCGAACCTGAGAGAACACGCGGCGCTCGTGGCTCAAGTGCGCAGCGTTTGAAAATTCACGTGGAAATGAAGATAAAGTTCGAGGTTGCATGTTTTTTTTGGTCCTATGCCGCTGAAACTTGCATCGTTACGAAGTCATGTGCAGTTGAAATAGATAAGTTACAGTTTGCATGTTCCATTTTGATGTGCACATGAGGCTTGCCTGGAGTCACTCAGAATGCAAGTTAAGCTTAAAGATACACATGAGCATAATTAAATTAATCATTTTTTACGAGGGCATACGCTTATAAGCCTTTTTTTATTTTTTATAACCCAGGCAAAAATGTGAGTTTTGAGGAAGTTAACTATTATTTTATTTATCTAAGCTTGGGGCAAATTTTATCGCAGTGGGTTAATTGTGTCATGTAAATTACTAGTGAATGAGAATAATATATCACCAATCCCATACACGGAATATACGAAAGTCCAGCATTATTTTCATGTGTTATAATTAATGCAGCAAAACGACAATAATACTCTACAATCTTTAATATTTATGTGCTCGCTGTAAAGCGTTCTTTGCTTATTTGGTGGCGCTGACAATAAATAATAAGTAGGCATTTTTTCGCACATCGAGGTAAGACGATGCAAAAATATTACATAACAGCGACCCTCAACAGGCAGCGGGACATCACATCGCCAACACAGTGAGAAGCATAAAGTATGGCATGAAGAATTAGTAGCGCTCTAGAGGCTTTATCGCGTAACATTATGGCATACTTAGTAAAAGCGAAGCTTTTATATTTTGTTTTATAATAACAGTCTCTTTCAAATGAAAAATTCCTCCGCCTAGTGCCCTATCGCTAAGACTGGCGCTAAATGCCAGTCTTAGCGACAGTAAACTCAATTGTTTATTGCTGTAGTAAACAATAAAGCAAAGCGCTGCAATATTTTTCCTCATGCCATCACTCAAGATACAACTTAGGCTGAGCAAAAATCTGACACCTTAGAGGAGCAATTTTTCCTTGCGCTCTGTTTTGTAGGGTAGGTGCAAGGACAAGCTCAGAATAGGTTAAACGACTCTCGAGTACCATGTCGTGCCACATGCCGTCATGTAGGGTACAACTAATGCTCAGCAAGTTCTACGCGTGAAACGCGCCACATTTGTCCAGTCGGGCGTTTGGCACTGTAATGCAGCTTCTGAGCAAAACTATTCTGTTTGATAGTTGGCAATTCCGCTTAGTTTTAACTCTGATAATATAAAATAGCCTCTAAATGTTAATATGGCCACGGGTTCACTTCATAATTTCGTTTGCAAATTAAAAGGCTTCGTTGAAATACTGACTGAACTGAACTATATGAAACTGATTTGGCTTTTGAAACTAGTCAATCTTATATAATTTCTTGTTATGTTAGCGGTGAGTGTTAGCTGAACGTATTGACGCATTTCGTGTTCTATAGAATCGTTTACTGGAGTCCAATTAAATTGTTTCACTCAAGCAGAATACGTCAGAGCAAACGAGAACGATACATCACTACTGACTCTCCTATACATAGGGACGGTAAAGACAATTGATTTGATGATGACAGTGTTCTTAATCAAAACTTTTTAGCCTGCTTGAGACTGTTACCCACAGGATTGAAAAGAAAGTCATCGAGATATTGAGAATGAACCGATACTGTAGTCCAGTCCTCTGAATGTGAATTTTTTTAAAGGAACTCATTAAATATTTTCCGCAAGGGTGCACTGAAGAAATCAGCAAGAACATTGTTCGATAAAAGTCAAAAGCCATGCACATGGCAGTTCGTGCGCATGAATTATGCGCTAGATGTCATGCACTATTGTCATACATTAGACAAAGTCGTACGTAACAGTTCTACACTGCAGGGAAGGTTGTACGTAACAGTCCTACACTGCCGGGACTTGCATGCCCGGGCTTCCACATGACATTAAGTGGGACACACAGTCATATTCTGCAAGCTGGGGCGTACACAGCAGTCCTGCAGTGGCTGTCGGGCACGCACGCAGTCCTACACAACATGCAGGGGCACGATGTCCTACACTGCATGCCGGGGTGCACACAAACTGCCTCTAAGAAACTGCCCTATCTTCAGCTAATTAAAATCAGTGAATTCTAATAGAAACCATAATGAGTTGGGTGCAAAAAAGGAAATTCCAAAAACACGTGGTCGGTTTTCTTCAGAAATGTAAAATCGCAATATATGAAAAAGGAAAGGAGGAGCACTATTTGACATGAAAGGTGTAAGGCCCTCCACATGACGTGATGTTGATTATAGGCACGTACAAATTTTTACGAACGAGCTATAATAATATGTTTCAAACAAACGATATTTGCAGTATACCTGAGCATATTATTTTAATTCAGTTATTAATTATACAACATACTACCAGTTTTTTTGGAGATATTACGTATTTCGCTCATGGGTGAGGCTCATTCGACCAACTGTCCAGATATGTTGCCTTTAGTTTCAGTCGGCGCAACGACCACGTAGACAGATATCTCGTCTTTCAAATTTGTTTACAATGAATAAATTTTAACAACGGGTTATAATTATTCATTGTAATTGAAAATATGTCTCACAAAACTATCGCATAACGTTTTTTTTGTAGTTGTGTAAAATTCGGGCATTAAAATGTTAGAATGGATCGCAAACACCAAGCAAAAGAGTTCTTTGAACACGGACTTAATTAGTTTCTCGCTCTTTTTTAACCCTCAACAGACTGAATAATTTTACGACGTTACAGTCGTATCGAGTGTAGGTACATTTGTATCCATGCAGTCCGACAAGCATCAAATGAAAACATTGAAAGAAATTCAAGATCAAAATGAAAGCGTTTCACATGAATAAATTCGTTACATTCATCGAGTCCCTGTTACAATAAAAAAGAAATTTCAATTAATGATGGTAATTAGGGGCGAGTGGGCATTTTTTGGCTCGTTTGGCGGATAATTACTCCAGTTTATTCTATGTGCAACGTGTATTTTTGAATACGAAAACATAGGAATTTCAATCAATTTTCCTAACAGATTATTCCTATCAGACATCGCGTTATGAAACGTTAAGTTCTGAGAAAATAATCGCTAGAGAGAAGCCAATATTTTGATAGGTGATGAATTTTCTTACAATTGCAAATTTTATATTTTGCCCAATTATACTACGAAAAAATCCGACTGTGAAATTCAAATTGAGAAGCTGGCTCTTACAAAAACCTAAAATATTCACTGCTTGACAGAAATTGTCATCAGCACCTGAACAAATTCGGAAGGTAAAGACCAACTTACTTGGAGTTCGCTGGGCAGCGCAGAGCTGCGCAGTTCTGATAGACACAGCCAGGCTTTGATCGATGACTGGGCACATTTTCTCCCAAATCCAAGAGCTTTGACGGGAGAAGAATGGCATCACTTACAGCGTGAAGTCAGTGAGATAACATTTTTGATCAATATTGAACTGGGGACATTTTCGGAATAGAATTATCCTCTTGCATAGTTTTGTTCTCATATGAAAATACGATCTTTGCTGGACACATTGATATATTCTTATTCTCGAGTCATGAATTCGGAATTGCAGGTTGCAATTGACAAGGTTGCTCAAACGTTCTTCACCGTTATGATTGAAGATTGTGGCTTTACGATAGCTAACAATTCACGGAGTTGGGGTGTTGTAGAGAGAAATTTAAAACATTTAACGATGCGTGAAACAATTTTCGAAACAAAATTCATCCAACATTTCAACATAAGTATACAAGAAGTATCTAAGTAAAGTTGGACATTTTAAAACTATAAGATTTTGCAGAGATCGTTGTGTTCAATATATTCAACATGATTTACAATCACTAGCAAGACACAAAGAGAATGCTGAAACAGATGATGCAGAATCTCATTGTACATTCTCTCTGAAATACCGCAAGTCAGAACATGGTAAAATCCATGGACATGTACTATTAATGAAATTTTCCTCTTATGCTTGCACACTTCGTCTATAGAAAAATCTGAAACTAAATCGAAGAAGCTCGCTATCAGTAATTAGCAGCCACTTCGATGAGCGGCCGTGTCAGAAATTCTCAGAATGAGGAAAATAACGCAACGCTGTTTCATGCAGACGTGGAACAAAGGGACTGCGACAACGAGCTCTGTTCAGTGTCGGGGCGTAATGAGGAGTAAACCTCTTCTGTGATCAAACGAACTCGAGTTCTGCATGAATATATCTGCTATCTGCACTGTATTGCATTTATGCGGTTGTTTTCCGCTGCGCGAGTAGTGGCATCGCTGGACGTGTTGAACATGGCTGTGTTCAACTTCCAAGAAAACGCTTCCAGACATCGGTAATAATTCCTTGCTAGATATTAAATTAATGCAATATACTTTACGGCCTTTATCAGTTCCTATACACTATTAGAAATTATAATTTTCATGTTATGCTTAAAAGTTAAATACAAACACATTTCCTGAAGATATATAACGTAAAACTTGGACCAAACATTTACTACCAGGAATTTACGGAGCGCAGGACGGAGGCCTCAATCTTTCCGAGCCACAAATAATGGGGAAAATTGGTGCAATTTTCGAGCGACATTTGTTCGTACCCGAGGAAATGATGCAAAATAATTCGTTATTTCCTCAGTTTTATTAGGAATAATCTGCGTGCAGCTGTTGTGAGTTGCTGCGTGCAGGAGCAGCAAAGCAAACCGCAAAAAGAAGGAAAAAGGTGGAGCTTCTTGTTACCTAAAATAATGTAAGGTTGTTTTTTACCGTAATCATTTATAACGCAATTTATCCAAAAAGTTGTTGCTTAATATATTTACATCCAGTTCGAGTCGACTTCAATTCAAATTAATTCGAACGAGGATAAAAACTGAATTTCATGCAATGTATTGTTATGCATAAATACCATTGCATAACAAAATATTATTGTTGCACTGCATATTTTATAAGCTAAACTTTTGCTGAGCTCATTAGAAAGATTCAGGGGCAATTCTATGTTGGGAAGTCATACATTTTTGAAGTAGACTCGAAAATTTGATCTCCAGATTCTTGGTTGCTCGTCGTAGCATTTTCTTGTATATGCAAAGTTCTAGTAAGAATCTGCACAGATTAAATGACTGTAGAAAAAAATCGCCAGTTTTCCATCTTGCATTCGTTTATGCATGGCGAATTAAAAACCCTTAATAATTCTGCATCGCGTATTTGTTGATATATGTATACTAAGACTCGTTTATAATTTTATTTCATTAATTAAGTGATGCAAGATATAATAAATTTATGTTCCAAAGTGTGACTGAAATCGAGATCCGATTGTGAGGCAGATGAACGTAGCTGCATTTCAATGTGATCTTTGTAGGAAGTTGAGCTTGAGTTAAGTATATTTACATGCTAGCTTGAGTAAACTTTATTTACATGTGAGCTTGAGTTAACTATATTTGCATGGGAGCTTGAGTTAACTATATTTGCATGTGAGCTTGAGTTAACTTGAAAAAATTTGAGCTTGAGTTAAGAGAATTTTTTAATGGCAGTACGACCTCTATTCGTTTTAATCTATGAATAGTATCTTGGGTCTTACTTTCAAAACTCGTTAAGTGAACGTATGTCCTTTCGCTCTATTTTCTTGTCTATGATTGGCTGATTTTGCTTGAAAGGCCGTCAATGATTGGCGGATGAACTTACGATCTCTTAACTTTTTTTGAAAGTATTGGCCCTATACTCCAACTTGTTGCTTTTGAATCAATCACGAATCGCCAGTAATAAAAAAATAATCCTTAACATGGAAGCAACAAAGTATAAATTTATGAGGAATGAACTTAAAATGCAGAACGCTGGTGCTAAATTAATAACATCAGAGTTTTGAGCACCAAGCTCGATGTTAAGCATATCTAAGGCTTTGCGCTAGACATTTTTGTGATGGATAGAAGTCATGTAGGAATCACAAAACAATAAAATGCGCATCGGTCGCAAAAGAGTAATGATGGTTCATTTCTCTATGCGAGGTGCTAGAGCTGAAAAACTTATGATTACAATCGACATCTGTTGATATTGGCTCTGCAGGACAGTGCAGACTAATTTAGAGTATCTCTTTGATATTTTACCTTAGACTTCTGAATGTTCCGGGTAATGGATCAAAATTATATAAGATTAATTATATATCTATTAATTTGATGAAGATTGCCTGCTTCAACGCCCAAATTTTTTTGTTCATTATTCAGTGTACTGGAAATTTTCGATCAGGAATGCAGAATGAATGATATTAATCACGAAGTAAATAATTCTAAATTTATATGTAATTTTATTAACATTTAATGTACGGAAAACTTGCTTTCATGATTTGAGAACTTCTAATAGATTTATTGATGTAATATTATACAGTGTGAAATCTTTTAATTATACTGAGCTATGAGCTTCCAGTGTAATTTCCTACCTCTCCATTAAGTCGTATATTCCTGAGACATCCTTTGAAGTAGGATTGTTTTTCACCATTATTCTCGTGCAATGCATCACTGGAACTTGCGTCCATGGCTCCGAGTTGCAAAGGCGCGCCTCTTGTGTTGAGTTGTCCAGTCAAATCTTGCGCGTGCACAGCATTTCTGCAGTAGAATTGTTTGGCCAGGCCGGGACCGCGGTCTTCTTCTGTTGTATTTTCTGTGGGCTGTCCTACGCAGTTGTCGATGATCATCTCAACTGTCTGGGGATTATGTACCGATTTATTGTGCAATTTATTGATTGTATCAAAAGTATAGATAGCTTAATATAAATCAAATGATCAATCCATTTCAATGTATTAGGAAAGAAAATTTGTGTAAACATTTCCATCAATCACGAAATATTACGCGTTGAAAAACGATAATTGAAATGATTAATTACTACTATAAAAAAATTTTGAATGTGATTCACGGAGAGAGTTCATTTGCTAAGCTTTCAGTGGGAATAGCAGTGCACAGCGTAATTTCCAGATTACAAAACTTTTACTAGCGCTTTTTTGGAATTCAGAGCGTGCCTCATAATGATTGTTGCTTTGAAGATGGAACGAGAAAAATACGGTATATAGTTGCTGTTTTCAAGATTGTTCGAAAAAATGGTTCTGTCTTCAAATTGGTTCTGCAATTACAATGGTGGTATTGATATGAATACAGTTAGAGCAATTATAACCAGTAAAACTGGTTGCAAACGCTAATAAAAGAATGATTAGAAATGAAAACTTGAATTAATCGAAAACACGTACTTTATTTCGCCAGAAAATGTCCACACGATGCCATCGTAGGTCTGCTAGAGAAGTATTGACGCTCACGTCAACAGCGGCCGAGTTGAGGGACAAACGAAAAAGCAGCTTTCCTTCTGTTAGTTGAAGTACCAGACCCACTCTCCTATTTCCGTGCTTCTCAACACTGGAGAGTACGGTTCCATTCTTTGAGTCGGTGAGTAAAAATAAGCGTAGCTGAAGTTTTGAGCAAGGGTTTAAAGGTTGAAGCCAAAGCCATGACCCAGAGCCTCTCGCATCGCTCCCGGCAAAGTGCCGAGTCAGGATTTTGCAACGAGGCCCAATCGTGTGGCTCGGGCAGACGCACCTGCCAACTCGCGGGAAAATAACCAAATAGAAAATCGCATTTAATTTACGTTAATATTCCAAATTATTAAAAGCAGGGTGCTGCTGGTCATGAATGATATATCTTTTATATCAAGTGGCAAATAATAAAAAATTAAAAGGAGTATACAATTTTCATTAGTCTCGATAATTGCTGCTTTATACTAAGAAATTTATATATAAAACACATTAAACTCGAGGATTTGACGTTCTTAAAAAATTTACCTTCTATATCTGCTCTAAGCAAGCAGGATTTTATTGTTAATATGAACTCACTTGTATCCAGGAGCTGAAGGCAGGCACCTGCCTCCATTAAGGCAGGTATTTTCATTGCAATCAACAAGTTTTCCGTTGACGCGCTTGTTCCTCATAGCGTGAGCATAAGGCGCTCGGGTCGCTGCCCCTTCTTGCCTTTGATCGTTCAAGGATTGCTCCCCTGCAAGCCTGGGAGATAAACCTGATGTTCCGCCAATCTGATCGTCCAATGTTGGGTTCACTTCACTGACCGTCGAATTACTTATGCATTTGCAATTGGAGTCTAGGCTCAGGATCGGACCGACAAAGGTGGCAGTCGGAGTCTGAGTTATTGAGTATCCTTCAGACAAGACCGTGCGGGGACTGCAGCAACATTCACAAGACCTGCCGCAGTCTAGAGTACCTGCTCTACTCATCCCAGACCCCAAAATGCTCAGCCCGAGGTGCTCTTCTATCTGTGTAAATATTTGTAGTATCATAAAACATTAGGAAGCATTTATTTCTTGAATATATATTTCATTTGGTAAATTGATTGATAAGCTAAACTACATTAAGACAAAAAATAAATTCGATGTAAGGTGATGCAAACAAGATTTATTTTACAAAATGGTATGTCCTGATTTTCGAACAAGTGAACGAACCTCTGCTTTATTCAAAGCGATGAACAATTCTAAAGACGTTTTGGTGGAGTCTGCGAGCCAGACTCTGGAGACATGTTCGTCTGAGTTTTGTCGGATTCCTTCTAGCGATATAACTTTAACCGAGGGAGTCCTGGGTCGCAGTGCCAGCACCAGATGTTCCAGACCTCCAACAGACCTCAGCGCCACCACCAAGCTGTTGCTCTGCCGGGTGCGCAGCCTATAGTGCAAAATAGAATGTTTCAACATTCAATTTGGATCAGGCATCGTGTAGCGTTGAGCCAGAGACGTAACTCGTTAAACTCTTACCGGATAATTTCAAAATTCAAAGGAAAATTTCAGGAGAGGCTTCATCGGCTTAATGACAATCATCGAAAAAATAATTTATAGCCTCTTACATGTGTATAGTTTGAATTGAAAAATGCATTGTGAGTTTTAGCAGGAAATGCATGTTCGAAATTTGCTGTAAACTATGTAGCTGCTGCAAAATCTTCTGTTACTTTGAACCAGTTCTCGCATTAGTTTTATTCCTCGCGTACGTAAACGATCGACCAGAAGCAACTTCAAGCCTCAGCTCCATACACGTTGATGATTAATTAAAAGGTCCCTATATATCAATTAATGATACGTTATAAAAAGTTGTACTGATGGAAAAATTTATTTGGATTAGTTGACTGGACAGGTATTTGGTACTGTTGGCAGTGGCTGTAGAAAATGACTAGCGTAATTCGCTTTGGCAAAAATAATCAACGGCAAAGATACGAGAAAACGAGGCCATAATGATAAATTGGCGCTTGGGGAGTCGATAGCGAACAAATGAGAGTTTAAACACTTCGGAATGCAACCGACTAAAGACTAGATGAGATTAAACCTTTTAGGGTAAAAGTTCGAATCATTTTTCATTTAACGTCAGTCGTTGATAGATGCGGCTAAAATACAAAGTTTTAGACATTTCAAAATTAGACCATAAAAGTCATGGACGTTTGGAGGATTGTCGACAAATTTGATACAGCTTAATCTTCAATGCAGACGCTTTTTTCCGATAGTTTATAAGCTTTGAGTCTGTCATTGGCGTTTTGAAGGCGTTTAATGCCTACATCACTAATGAATAACAGCGTTATGGATTCATTTACAGAATTCACTAGTAATATAAATGAGGTGAAGATCGAGTGAATTTCATTTCCTAAACGTCAATGATTATTCGACTCACTTTTCTCCGAGTATTCATCGCTCATAAATCGCTGGTGCGGCGCAATACGTATAATCTTGACATGTACTGCTGCCAACAAACTCTTTAGTAGTGGTGCTAATTTCATATTGCTATAAATACTTTTTTATTGCCAAATACTAGAACCTTCGTTTGGTCCAGTCTTTATATTTGATGTCAACTCTCATGATTTTATAACTTTCCGATGACGGCCTAATAAGACCACGAACCAAAATTGTTGTCTTTGCCTTCACTATTTCAGCCTTGGGGTCGATGGAGGAGCGCGTGTTGGGACGCACCGTAAAGTTATGGACGAGGTTTGTTCGGGCAGCTGGAAGAGGAGAGCAATCTGAAGGAAACTGTTCGCTGAAAAGCTCGTGGGCACAGTTTTGGTGGAGCAGTCGTGGCCTGACCAACCAAGTTTACACTCGCACGTTTCATCGCCAGGAGATCCTTCGCAGCTGTTGACAAAACAAATTGCATGTGTTGATATTATACGCAAGGGGAAATGCCTTGAGGTGGTCGTTGCATCTCAGAATTGATCACACAAATAAATTGACCGACTTATTGCTAATAAAACTCATTTAGTGGCCTAGACTAGTCAAGGTGATTAAAAAAATTCATCATCAAAACTCAATACTCATCAATACTCATTGCAACGCTACATGTTGTAAAATAAAATAAGAAAGAGCGTCGCATGCTGATCACGACGTTTTATTTTTAATCGTTATATTTTTAATTGTTTTAATTGTTAATATGAAATGAAATTTAACTTATTACTGACAGTTAATACAACGTGTAAATTTATACTTTATTGTACGAAAAACTATTGATCACTAGCAACTGTGTGCATCAATCTGTGCTGTGCACAATTACTAGCACACAAGATGCTCACAAAGACTAATATATTTGATGCAAATAAAGATTTCCCTAAATAAACTGAGCATCTGATAATGAGATCGGCCCTTTAGCGTCTAGCTGTACGTATAAGTCGCCTTTCAAAGAATCTCATGTGAAAATCTCCCTTTAAATATGGCGGAGCTACTGCTCTGTCAGACACGTTCAGAACATGTCTTAGATTGGCTCGGCAGCAACTAAGAAAGAAATTGCGTCTCACCCTTCAGTGCTCGACGTGCTCAACTGGGATGTAGTAGTGATTTTCATCTGCCCCATAAAACCTTATTTTTTCGGCACTATGGCTGGCAAACCCGTTGAGATATCGAATGAAATAGTTATCTGCTTGTTCGGTAGTGCTTCATGAGTTATTTTGGATGTTTATTAGTGCATACTGGCAGTTTTAATTATTCTTGCATTATATTTTTTAATACGCCTTATATGTACAATCGAGCTCACGAACCCTACGTGCGAAACGCGCCACATATGTCCTGTCGTGCGTATGACACTGTAATGCAGCTCCAGAACATAACTATTTGTTTGATAGTCGGTAATTCCTCGTAGTCATAACTCTGGTAATATAATATTGCCTGTTGATTTTAATATGGTCGCGGGTTCACTTAATAATTTCGTTTGCAAATTACAATGCTTCGTTGAAATATTAACTGAACTAAACAAAATGGAACTGATTAGGCTTTTGAAACTAATCAATCTTACATAATTGCTTGCTATGTTAGCGGTGAGAGTTAGCTGAACGTATTGACGTATTTCTTGTTCTATAGAATCGTTTACTGGAGTCCAGTTAAATTGTTTCACTCAAGCAGAATACGTCAAAGCAAACTAGAGCGACACATCACTACTCCCTCTCCTATATATAGGGACCGAAAATACAATTGATTTGATTATGACAGTGTTCTTGGTCAAAACTTTTTAGTCTATTAGAGAATATTCCTCATAAGATTCAAAAAGAAAGTCAGCGAGATACTGAGAATGAACCGATACTGTAGTTCAGTTCTCCGAAGTTTAATTTTTTTAAAAGAACGTACTAAATATTTTCCGTTAGGGTGCACTGAAGAAATCAGCAAGAACATTGTTCGATAAAAGCCAAAAGCCATGCACATGACAGTTCGTGCGCTTGATTCATGCGTTCGAGGTCGTGCATTATTGTCATACATTAGACAAAGTCGTAAGTAAGAGTCCTACGCTGCAGCAACGCTAAGTCGTGCCCAGCAGTCCTACACTGCCCGTACTTGCATGTCCTGACTTCCACATGACATTCAATGAGGCACGCAGTCCTATCCTGCATTCTGGGGCGTACATAGCAGTCCGACACTGGCTGTCGGAGTACGCACGCAGTCCTACACGACATGCAGGGGCACGATGTCCTACACTACATGCCGAGACACGTAGTTCTTCAGTGCATGCCGGGGCACGCACGCAGTCCTACACGACATGCAGGGACACGATGTCCTAAACTGCATGCCAGGGTGCACACAAACTATCTCGAAAAAAAAACTGCCTTATCTTCAGCCAACTAAAACCAGTGAATTCAAGCAGAAACCATGATTCGTTGTGTGCAAACAAGGAAATTTCAAAAACACGTGGTCGATTTTCTTCAGAAAATGTCCAATCGAAACATATGAAAAAGGAAAGGAGGAGCATACAACAAATGCTATTCTTTAAGCAACTGTTTAACAAGAAGATCGTGAGGCACCTGCACCTGACGTGATGCTGATTATTGGCACGTGCAAATTTTTACGAACGAGTTATAATAAAATGTTTCAAACAAACGATATTTGCAGTATACCTGGGGATATTATTTTCATTCAGATGTTAATTATACCAGATACTATCAGTTTTTTGGAGATATTACGTATTTCGCTTATGGGTGAAGCTCATTCGTCCAACTGTCCAGATATGTCGCCTTTAGTTTCAGTCGGCGCTACGACCAAGTGGACATATATCTCGTCTTTCAAATTTTTTACAACGAATAAATTTTAACAACGGGTAATAATTCTTCATTGTAATGAAAAATATGTCCCACTAAACTATTCCACATAAAGTTTTTTTTTAGTTGTGTATAATTCGGCGCTAAAATTTTAGAATGGATCGCAAACACCAAGCAAAAGAGTTCTTTGAACACGGACTTAATTAGTTTCTCGCTCCTTTTTTAACCCTCAACAGACTGAATAATTTTACGACGTTACAGTCGTACCGAGTGTAGGTAAATTTCTACCCATGCAGTCGTACAAGCATTAAATGAAAACATTGAATGAAGTTCAAGATCAGAAGGAAAGCGTTTCACATGAATACAGTAAATTCGTTACATTCATCGAGTCCCTGTTACAATCAAAAAGAAATTTCAATTAATTATAGGAATCAGGGGCGAGTGGGCATTTTTTGGCTCGTTTGGCGGATAATTACTCCAGTTTATTCTGTGTGCAACGTATATTTTTTAATACGAAAACATAGGAATTTCAATCAATTTTCCTAGTAGACTATTCTTTGTCAAACATCGCGTTATGAAACTTTAAGTTCTAAGAAAATAATCGCTAGAGAGAAGCCAATATTTTGATAGATGATACATTTTCTCACAGTTTCAAATTTTACATTTTGCCAATTCTACTACGAAAAAATCCGATCATGAAATTCAAATTGAGAAGCTAGTTCTTACAAATGCCAAAAATATTCACTGCTTGCCAGAAATTGACCTCAGCACCTGAACAAATTCGGAAGGTAAAGACCAACTTACTTGGAGTTCGCTGGACAACGCAGAGCTGCGCAGTTCTGATAGACACAGCCCGGTTCTGATCGATGACTGGGCACATTTTCTCCCAAATCCAAGAGCTTTGAAGGGAGAAAAATGACATCACTAACAGCGTGAAGTCAGTGAGATAACATTTTTGATCAATCTTAAACTGGGAAATTTTCACAATAGAAATACCCTCTTGCATAGTTTTATTGTCATTTGAAAATACGATCTTTGCTGTACACATTAATATATTCTTATTCTCGAGTCATGCATTCGGAATTGCTGACTGCAAATGAAAGTGTTGCACTAACGTTCTTCCCCGTTTTGATTGAAGATTGTGGCTTTATGATAACTAGCAATTCACGAAGTTGGGGTGTTGTGGAGAGAAATATATAACAATTAACGGAGCGTTGAAGAATTTTCGCAACCATATTCGCCCAACATTTCACTAAAATTATACAAGAAGTACCTAAAGTTGAAAAATTTAAAACTATAAGATTTTGCAGAGATCGTGGTGTTCAATATATTTAACATGATTTACAATCACTAGCAAGACACAAAGAGAATACTGAAACCGATGATGCAGAATTTCATTGTAAATTCTCTCTGAAATACCGTAAGTCACATCCTTATAAAATGCATGGACATGCACAATTAATGAACTTTTCCTCTTATGCTTGAACACTTCGTCTATAAAAATATATGAAATAAATTGAAGAAGCTCGCTATCAGTAATTAGCAGCCACTTCGATGAGCGGCCGTGTCAGAAATTCTCAGAATGAGGAAAATAACGCAACGCTGTTTCATGCAGACGTGGAACAAAGGGACTGCGACAACGAGCTCTGTTCAGTGCCGGGGCGTAATGAGGAGTAAACCTCTTCTGTGATCAAACGAACTCGAGTTCTGCATGAATATATCTGCTATCTGATGGACTGCAT